GGCGCTCCTGGCTGGTGGACAGCCGGTGAGGACATGTGGCCCTGCACGCGGGGCCCGGGTGCCACCACAATCAATCCGAGCTTCCCTCGGGACAGGGCCAAGTCCCAGGGCCAAGCGACCTGTGGGCAACAGACCTGCGGCTCTGCTTACGGCCTGCGGCGTCTTCACCCACAACCCCCCAGAGAAAGACGACGTGAAAATGCAGTCAGGGCCCGGCCGGCGGGGCTCAGGGTTGAGCGTCAACCTATGAACCAGGAGGTCACGGTTCGATTCCCGGTCAGGACACCTGCCCGGGTTGGGGCTCAATCCCCAGTGTGAGGCGTGCAGGAGGCAGCCGATCCATGATTCTCTCTCATCAGTGATGTTTCTCTCTCCTGTCCTCTCTCTAAAATCACTAAAAACATATAAGTTTTTTTTTTTAAGTTCAATGGCATATGTCATTTTAACAATATTTTTACTGATTTCACAGAGGAAAGGAGAGGAAAAGATAGAAACGTCAATGATGAGAGAGAATCATGGATCCAGGAGGCAGCCGATCCATGATTCTCTCTCATCAGTGATGTTTCTCTCTCCTGTCCTCTCTCTAAAATCACTAAAAACATATAAGTTTTTTTTTTTTTAAGTTCAATGGCATATGTCATTTTAAAAATATTTTTACTGATTTCACAGAGGAAGGGAGAGGAAAAGATAGAAACATCCATGATGAGAGAGAATCATGGATCGGTTGCCTCCTGCATGTCCCACACTGGGAATAGAGCCCGCAACCCGGGCCTGTGCTGTGACCGGGAATCGAACCCTGACCTCCTGGTCCATAGGTCAAGCACCGAGCCACACCGGCCGGGCAAAACATATAAAAAATGTAAAAATCAAAACGCAGCCAGGAAACCAACACCAGGTGCCTCAGAGGAAGCACTGCAGGAGAAGAAACCTATTTCCCGGGCAGAGCGGGCTGGGGGTCAGGCAGGAGGCGGCCTGGGAGGACCGAGCGCCCCGCCCGCTCGACCTTCAGAATATTGACCCCAGGGCTCAGGGGAGGAGGCAGGTGGGCTCCGGCCAGGGAAGCGCAGGCTTCGCACCGAGAGGGAGGCTGGCCAAACGCACTCACCGGGCCCGCGGACGTTGACGTCCATGCA